GGTTTACTTCCTCGGGGAGGCGTCAGTAGTTATCCTCGGGAGACCTCGATACAAGCCTTCAGTACATATATATACATAGGCTTCCTGTCCCTGACAACGGGAATTATATATGGTAAGGCACGCTCAAACAACCCGTCCTCTTAAATAATGTGCGTCTTTTAGACGTTATGGTCCCCCAACGTACTAATTACGAAGTATTATGAAAAGTAGCGGCTGACACATATATCTACGTTTTCCATGCATATAGGTAAGTTAGGTTAGGTTAGGGTCGTGCGTTTCTGGTTAGGTTAGTACATTGTATTTTGTATGTTGTGGCAGCTCAAGAGAGCGGGAGGGATCAAAAGGGTCCTCTCTCTCTAGCTCATTCTAAACACAGTTTGGCTTGATAACCGACGTGATTTACGTCACTTAAGAGTGTGTCAGCACGTGACGTTCATCCATGTTGAGGTTATCACCTGGTCTGTCAGTCACTATAAGCTTATAAGCGAATCTTTTATCACTTTTCGTCTATTACTCTAAGCGAGTCTTAAGACCAAGCTATAAATAGTGTAGTCTCTGGCTCGGCTCGGCTCGGCTCGGCTCGGCTCGGCTCGGCTCGGCTCGGCCCGGCTCGGCTCGGCCCGGCTCGGCTTCGCTCGGCCCATCCAAAGCGTTATGGAGGACATTAGCTCCCCGAGGACCAGCGTCGTAGCAATGCTAGTCCATTTGTTCTATTAGAAAATTACAAATCATAAAATTCAACACTTAATTAATTTCTTTACAACCTTTTTTTTTATAGCCGAGTCATGATACCTGGTTGATACCTGGTTGATGGGGTTCTGGGAGTTCTTCTACTCCCCAAGCCCGGCCTGAGGCCAGGCTTGACTTGTGAGAGTTTGGTCCACCAGGCTGTTGCTTGGAGCGGCCCGCCGGGCCACGTACCCACCACAGCCCGGCTGATCCGGAACTTATCTTTTCATGTACAACTTCGTCCACTAAAGTTTGGACAAGTGGCTAAATAAATCTGTAGATCGTGGGTTCGACTCGAGGTGCGCTTAACTACACAGGCTGGTCAACTACAATGATTGTACAACTATGCTGTTAACTCAACCATGAGATTGGGGAGGGACAACCACAGGCGGTTAGCTGCCCCTCATGGGGTTATAATAACCAATAATGGTTATTACTAATCACCACCAATATTACCAGCATCATCAACATTATCATCTCAACGGGGTGAGAATAGCTTGGGCTACCTCATTCCTTTGTTTATTTATACCTCAATAAACGCATTTCAATTTCAACTTGTGACGAATCCCAGCAAGGATTCTCAAAGGTAAGATTCTCAAAGATTCTCAAAGATTCTCAAATCCCAGCAGGGATTCGTAGCATCCCTGATATTCGTAGTCTTCACCGCTCTCTCTCTCTCTCTCTCTCTCTCTCTCTCAACCCTCTTTAAAATCAACACCTGTGAGGGCCTCCCGCCCCCTTAGCCACAGGTGTTTATACAGTGCTAGCCAATTAGGGCGCGGGGGAAAATGTAGTAATGAATTGCTAGGGCAACAGGAATTTTCTGTAACTGGTGCTTTTGCGGATTGATCCACGAAGAGTGTAAAATGTGTGTGTGTTGGGACCTGTGGTTAGGGTGTTGTGGGGTATATAGCGACGGGGAAGAGAAACAGAGAGAAAGAGAGAGAGAAAAATAGAGAAAGAAATAGAGAAAGAGAAAGAACGAAGGGGAACAGGGAGAGAAAAAGGCAGAGAGTTGTTGTTGTTGTTTAAGATTCGCTACTTGGAACAAAAAGTTCCAAGTAGCACGGGCTATGGTGAGCCCGTATTCGTCGTCAAGGCAGAGAGAGTCATGACTATGTTATGGGGGTATATTATGATCTTTGCCGGAATCATTTCACTGCGTTGCGAATCTACTTAAAAATAAGTTAATAACATCAACATTGCGAGAAAATATACATTTTGGGAACAATTTAATGTGCATGGACTATTTACTATTTGCATTTACTATTTGTGCTTCCGAAGAATAGAGCTGTTAGCTCTTCAGCCCCGCAGTTTTTAACTATTGATTGCCTATTATACTGACTCGAGGTCTCTTTTCTCAATCATGTATGTTGTATATTTCGGTCATACACGCATCCCCCCCCCCAGGTTGCAGCATACAACATGTGTTTATCCCCCCAGGTACCTATTTACTATTAGGTGAACATATGAATTAGGTGAAAGAAACTCTGTCCCATGGTTTCCGTTCCTCACCGAGAGTCGAAACCCGGTCCGTGGACTGTGAATCGCGAACGCTGTCCGCTCGGCCGCGAGACCCTAAGCGTGCGCATACGGATATTATAAGTAGCAAAAAAAAAAAAAACCTTTGACAAAGTGTTCGCTCTCATATAATTAATACAAAAACAAAAATAAAATAAGAATATTAAAAAAAAGATGAAAGGAAAAAAAAGGAGAAAAGCGGGATAAATCGAAAACATTATAGCATGGAAATGGTGCGAGATATAGTTTGTTCCATCGTGTTCCCGTGTCGCCCTTCCCCCTTGTAGCTGAAGCCAGAGTCGCTCACGGATTGAAACGAGGCTACAATACTACTACTACTACTACCACACTCGCTTTCATTCACTTTGAACCCTATGAGGCACTAACATAAGGCGCTTTTCATACTGTTGCCTTACACAAGCGCCAATTAGGGTCCAGACAGATGCATTTCCAAACACAGTGTGAGATTACGGACGAGATGACGTCCTGTTTCCTTAGAAGTACAGATATCACCATTAAAGTCTTAAAAGGCTATTGATGCGCAAGGAAAATATATGTACAAAAAGGATACCTAAAATACATTATTTGAATTCTAAAAATTTGAGCTTATGGAATTCAAGGATAATTAGTCACGTCAATGAGTGATTTCATCTTGTTGGCTTCATCAACGTTTTGACAGTGATTGCCAACCTTATCTTCGCTACAGTTATTCACTAAGAGATTATATATATATTGTATATATATATTGCGTGAATATACATTAGTTCACCTATTGCGTAAAATGCCCTTTTTATTTATCTTGTTGCTGAACATATTGAACACCCGAATACTTTAAAAGTAGCCTGGATGCTCTTCAATACTTTTCGAAGCGTCACTAACATGTTGTTTAAGATTCGCCACTTGGAACAAAAAGTTCTAAGTAGCACGGGCTATGGTGAGCCCGTAGTGGACTTGAGTCACTAACAAATTACACAGTTGTATATTCACAAGTTCCTGCGGACGATCCAGCGAGAGCATCCGCGGAGCTTATCGGATCATTACGTTACAGGACCACCAGTGAAAGCAACTTAAAATAAATTCAATAGATCTCCAGCTGTTATCATCGACAAAACAGCTGTATTTCTGGCTCGAGTCTCAAAATCTAACATTGAGATTTGCAAATATTATTGCTCGCCCGCTTCTATCAACCTCACGTTCATCCCCGTCTCAGGGTTTCTGAACCAAGAGACGATGCATTGTGATATTCTACCTAACTGAATTCAAACCTTCCGTAATTGTTAATATCCTAACCCGTCCTCCTAATAGAACGTCGCATTTTGACGTATACTCTCCCTAAGGTCCCCCCCAAAAATTGTCGTACTAGAAAATGGTAGCGGCTCGTGAAACTGACGTACTGTCCCGTTTTCTGTTTTGGGTCCTCTGGTAAGGTTATGATAAGGGCACTTTAGTACGACAGTTTCTTGACGTTGGGAAACGGTAGGTGGACGGGCTGGATATCCGGACCATGGACTTCAATGCCACCACAATTCAAAACACTATTCAGCTTTTTCACAAATGTTTCCATCATTGTGTTGTACCGTCTTTGCACTGTCCCGATTTCCTTCTGTACTCCTATTTCTTATCAGTTATCTGGCAATGATCATTAGTTCACCGATCAAATATTCACAGTCCCGAAGACACCATCTTCCTAACGAGCGCAGTTCCATCATAGAGTGCCAAGTGGAACGAATGATTTTACTGGATAACACAACGTGGCGATCTTGTGCAGACGAGGCGTCATAATAACGCGGCTGAAATATGTTGACCAAACCCCACACTAGAAAGTGAAGGGACGACGACGTTTCGTGGCGTTCATGTGGTCACGGGTTACTGCCGGCCCCAGCCTACTAGAATGAGAGTACTTCTCGTCACTACGCGGTCAAAAGTACCAAAATGTAGTGATGGACCACCAAAAGGTTGACATTTTGTATTAATAAATTTGGCCAAATGGTTATAACGTTTTCACAAGGCAGCGAAAAATATAAAATCTAACTTGACCTCTCCTAGCAATCCTAGGCCTAATACACGCTATATCTTTGGGGCAGACATAGTACACACATGATGTGACGTTGTGTTGTTAAATATCCCAAGGCCCAGGAATATATCTATATATAAGATTTTATCTTAATCTTTTCCAGATTATAGAATTAAAAGAACATAAAGTGGGTTTCCTGGTGGTCCAGCCCTACATATTGGTACTTTCGACCAAATAGTTACTATGAGTACTGTCATTTCAGGAGGATAGACTTGTTATTGTATATGATAAAACAAAAGTTTTGGACAATAATTCCGGCACGAATGTCCTCCATTTCTTAGATTCATCTTTCATTTAGAAGAGGAAAAAAAACTAAAGTTAACTTTACGCACATTACCGACCTAAGCTAAGTTATGTTTAGCCAAGTTACAGTTTAGTATCCTCAGAAGGCAAAACGGGAATGCTAAAGAGCAACACAGCAATAATATATTAGTCCATGAGGGAGAGTAGAAAGTAGAGTGGTTACCCTGTCGAAAGGACAGGTAAATTAATCGGGGTCTCATTGGTTGGTGGATGGGGAATGAGGAGGCAGGATTATTAACATGTATCCTAGACAGGATAACCACCTCCTCTCATAACTCTCCCACATGCTCTATATTATATATATATATATATATATATATATATATATATATATATATATATATATATATATATATATATATATATATATATATATACACACATTTGCTTTAATGAACTTTGTTTTAATTTTTCCCTCTGCCCCTGAGGATGTTAAATTGAATTTGGCAACATATGCCAGGCTCAGGACTGGTGGTGTAATATTAACTTGAGAATTAATTGTCTAAACTTGTCAAGAAGAGCCACAGAGAAGATTCCCGTCTTTCCACCTCTTTCGGTTTTAATAACTTGTGCAAGAACATCAACTTCATATATATATATAATCTACTTGGAGGCCTAATAATTATTTAAGAATCAATGCCCCATGTAGAAACCAATGCAAACCAACACCATCACATGGTAGGCTACGTAATAAAAAAAAAAGTTACACAGGACAGAAACTAAAATTAATTACGATATGATACATTAATCAAATAATATGAAAAGATATAGATAAGACACTATAACACAATACTTGAGCAACGTAATGCTATGGTTGGAGACCAACAGCCCAACTTCCCCTTCAAAAGGAGCCAGCCCCCTGTGAACTATGGTCGGCCTCATTGGAAATTCTTAATAAAGTTTTCTGCACCTCCGCCAATTCTTTAACCCGAGTGTGCCACTCGGATTAAAGAATCACTAATGTACAACAAGACCCACTGGTTACCGCTGTCCTATACAGATACATCACTATTCATTACAACATTGATATATTACCCTGGTGAGATGAATGGATGATTATCTGCTCGCAATAATGTTGACATGTACATGTGTAAATAAAAACCCATTGGTTGAAGACTAATGAACATCGCACAAAATAAAAACACAAATTTATCGAAAATATATCATTCCTGCACTATTTCCCTATTCACAATTGTCATAAATGCTATAATTACCTTGTGGCGAATCCACGCGTGTCCTCCCTCAAACGTTTTCTCTTACAAATGCAACGCGCAAGTAACGTTTTCTTCAGCTCAAGTTCACAACACCCTTCACAATCTCTCAGTATTCACTGGCCCCTAAACACGTAGGCTATTGTCTATTCAGTCACGTGGCACAATCAGTAACAGCTGGACGTGTATAAAGGTCGACGCAGCAACCAGGTAAGGCAGAACACGACACAATCGCCAAGAATTTCAGTTCACAAGCACAAGACTCCCACCCATCTCAGGCAATGGTCGTCAAGGCTTTAAAACTCCTCCTCAAGGTGCAGTCGTAAATATTAACTTACTATGTAACCAAAGACGATATTTTCGTATGTAAATTCATATTAATATTCATTATAATTTTGTATATGGTTAAGGCTAGGTGCTTTTTATTATATTAGCAATTTTGTATATTTGTAGTGCGTGGGTGAAGCATTTCCAGGAGGTACGATTCGAAAACATTGAGATAAAAAACACTGTTCGAGACAAGTTCGAACATACTCAGTTGCCAGTCATGTCTAAACTTTTTTTTTAATTAAAAAACATGGAGTTTGGCGGTTGTATTAACGAGTATTTCGCCATAGTTTATGAAGACGGGCAGCGTTTAAATGCAGGTGTGGTGCAGTTGAAGCACCACTATGAACCAATAGTGGCTGCTTCACTACCGAGTCGTCACCGTGAACCAACAGTGGCTGCTTCAAGTTACGTGGAATCCAGCCATTCACCACTTTAGAACTAATAACTCGTGATCTGACAGTGTAGACTTGAAAACCCGTCTTATTAACTTCCTAATACTCTCTCATAGAGTAAATACTGAAAAAATAATTCGTGAATGAAACGCACAGACACACACACAAACCCCTTTGTGCTTGCGTGCGATGAAGCCCACGACTCAAAGGTTCGAACGCTCGCGACACACACTCAAGGAAACACCAAAGTACTCACTTTGGATCCCACTCTGTTTAAAAAATAAAAAGTACAATATACAGTCGATTATTCGTACAAGTTTATAACATACAATATTAACTTAAGTACCGACTAAAACATTCAAAATATATAAAAATAGGTTTACGATTCGTCCATTGTAGTCTGACAGTGTTGATCACAGTCTCTTGACACCAACACTAGCCAGCTACTTGTGTGGTATCACACTGCTGGTTTATATAGAATTATACAGTTTGATCCCAATTAAACGTCTGTAAACACACAGCGTAGCATCCTCTTGCTCTCTGAAGAGTTGATAACATACAATGTATGTTAAACATCTTATTGTCTCAGATTCCAGTATAAATGTACATTGGAGGAGGATATATGTATGAATATGAAATGTTTAAGTAATGCAAACATTATATATACATTGACAGGATTCCATTAGTAGACTGTATCTGCAAAAATAATACTAAAAATATACAGGCTTTCTGTCGGAGTCCTAAATGTTCACTGTATACTGCTGCAATATGTTTATACGCACAGCAACAAATTTATACACTGTACGGCCGTCACCTGCAAGATTATATTACAGTAATCACACAGCGCGCGGGCGCTTCTGTGCGCCCCCGCGCCGCACGAGGCAAGACAAGTACTCCATTGTTGTTGTTTCCACATCGCCACCAAACCTGCCGCCTATACGCAAATATACAGCACACTCATAAGTCTATGTAACAGCTCAGAGGGCAGTCTGCTCGTCCATCGAGGGCTGCTGGCAGGTGATGACGATGTTTCTGCCCGCTAACTGGGAGTTGGTGGTGTTGCGTCGAGTCAACAGCTTGGACAGCCTTCGAGCGAAGCGACGAACGGCTCCTGGTGGCGGGGCTGACGAAGATGGATTGGTCTGTGTGTTGGGGCAGCCGTTGAGGAGCGAAGCAGCGGTGGTTGAGCTGCTCACACTCGGGTTACTGCTGTTCCCCGAGTTTGTCTGGGGGAAAAAAACAAGTCAGTCACCAGACAGAATGATACTATGGACCAGCAAAACAGAAATAACCATGAGCAATTAAAAACACCAGTGGAGCGGGAGCCTTGAAACAGGCTAAGGGGGGGCCCCAAGCTGTATAGGAATATTAACGGTGAAGAAAATGGATATTTACTCTGGGTTTAGGGAACACTATACTATACAGAGCGAGGGATTACTGCTGAAGAGGTAAACATCGAAGATTCTACACGATACATCGAGGAAACGCTGGAAATGTCAAGTGCTTTTCTTTTGCACATATACAAAACTCTAATGAGAGAGGCACATACACAAAATAGAGAGATTATAATATATTTGGGGGGTGGAATAACCAGTTTTAAACTGGTTTTTAACGCTATCAAATTAAAAGATTCGTAAAATCGTTTAGTTTGATATCGATTATCGTGCATTACCATACAGATTATCATACACTGTCATACAGATTATCATGCATAATGGAATGTTCTTGAGTCGGTCAGGGTGTTGTGCAGAGCGAAGCCGCGATGCTGTAAACATTTCAGAAAGTTCAGAAGAGTTCAAGAGTGTTCAAAAGAGAAAACAAATTTGTTTGGAGCAATACGATGTTTTGTTTCTGGTCATGCACATGCGAGGAGAGGTCAGATGCGCGCGTTCGATCCCACCGTATTGCTCCAAAGTCTTCTCCTCCTCCTCACTCGTTTATCATGCTCTTGTGACTGGAGTTAATAGAGTTGTTAACAAGTTAACGGCATCATGTTGTGAGCAATATTTTGAGACGGGGAAAGTCTCTAGGATGATTGATAACAAAAGTTCACTCATTCGAATTTAGTCGAAAAAAAATATACGAAAATGTTAGTATAATTTAAACAAAAAAAGTTTAAAAATCTTAAATCTAATTGGAAAACAAAAATATAAACTTTAATTTAAAATTTAAAAACATTTCAGGATCGTTTAGAAACCTCAAATCTTAAATATAAATTGCCATATCCTCAGGATAGTTAAGAAGAATTTAGACACCTAAGAAGTAAAAAAAAAAAGGTTTAAGAGAGCTTCGGGATAGACGAGAAGAGTAGAGAAACCTTTTAGACAGTTTCTGAAACTGAAAACTGAATATAAAATATCAACTGAAAACAGTTGAAAACTTGTTTGCATGCTTAAAAAAAACCCACATTAATACAGTTGATAGACTGTAAAAAGACTGTAATAAATAAACAATTTAAGAAAACTTTAAAGATAGTTCAGAATGTGCTAATTTAACTAAAAATCACGAGTTAAAAATAAATTAAATTTAGTTTACAGCCATAACCTGAAAATAATTAAAAAGTTCAGAAGTCTTACGATAGTTGAGAACAAATGAGATCTCAGGGTAGATGATACAAAGTTTTGATTAGCCAAGGATTAGTTTGAGAGTTAATAAGGCTAAGATTCAAGGAAAATGAAAATGTCCGTCTATAGATTGTTCTTCATGTAACAATTAAAATAATAAAAAAATCTTAAGAGATCGAATTCCTTTTAGGCCTATCAAGATCCTCCTCTTCCCTCTAAGTAAACTATCGACATTCTCCAGCATGCAACCCACAACGTGTCGCCTAACTTCCGGGTATCTTGGTGAACAGATACATCAGGGGAAAAGAAACATTCCCAACCATTTCTGTCATCCTTTCTTCCCCCCCCCCCCCCCCACCCCGGGGATTGAACCCGGGATTCTCGATTTTGAGTCGAGGACTTAGACTACTGTACTACAGGCCCCATCAATGATAAAACTATCAGAATGTAAATGGTTTCAAAAGGTCACAGATGCTACAGGAAAAACATGTAAAAAAAAAAAGCTTATTGAAACGCATTTAATTAAGCCAAATCTAGTTTTGAACCATCTGGCCCGAGAAACCGAAGAGAGGACAGAGAACCATAAAATAATCCATCAGAACAAAAGCTTAGAGAGAGAGAGAGAGAGAGAGAGAGAGAGAGAGAGAGAGAGAGAGAGAGAGAGAGAGAGAGAGAGAGAGAGAGAGAGAGAGAGAGAGAGAGAGAGAGAGAGAGAGAGAGAGAGAGAGAGAGAGAGAGAGAGAGAGAGAGAGAGAGAGAGAGAGAGAGAGAGAGAGAGAGAGAAGAGAGAGAGAAGAGAGAGAGAGAGAGAGAGAGAGAGAGAGAGAGAGAGAGAGAGAGAGAGAGAGAGAGAGAGAGAGAGAGAGAGAGAGAGAGAGAGAGAGAGAGAGAGAGAGAGAGAGAGAGCTTGCAGAGGTCAGAAATGCGTATAACCTAGTGAAAACATTATCTTGGTGAAGCACACACACACACACACACACACACACACATACACACACCTTCAAGGAGCAGTTTACCGAAGGACTAGCGAGGTGCAGGAAGGCGCATTCTGTTCTCAGCTGTGTACAAGCGAGCATCAGGCAAACACCACACAAGCACTATGCACAGTTCACAAGGAGGCGAATGCAACAGTTAACTCACACACTTTACAAACAGGATTTATAAAGAAAGCGCGCGAAATGTTAATGGATATTTTCAATTAACATTCCAAGCGGAGACAGAGGGAGAGGGAGAAGGAGAGAGAGAAAGAGAAGAGGTATGCAGACACAAGGACAACGTGACACACCTTTCTAAGGAGAGGACGCGAGACTTCGTCAGGGGCGGGGTGGAGGACGACCTTGTTGGGCGTCACGAGAGTGGGAGAAGGGTTGCGGGAAGGACTGGGCACCGTCAGGAAGTGCCCGGGCCTGCCCAAGCTCTGACCCCGACCTTGGGTAGGGCTCCCCCGAGGGCTCCCCGACCCGCTACTCCTGTAGGTGGGACAACCACGCGCCTTAAACACACCCCAACGACTATTCCTACTAACAATTATTCTTCCCCCTCAATCCTCAACTCCCTCAAACCACCACTACCACCACACGGATTCCCGGCCTCCATCTAACATTCCTACACATGCCCTCCATAATGCATTCCTGTAGCGACAGTTCTAGTAAGTCAATTCTCATCTATAGAGAGAGCCAAAGGGCCTATTATTGCTCCTAACTCAAAAAGAGTCCCTAAGGCAGGCGAAAAGGGTTCAGCACCCTCGTTCTAAGACCTTAAATACCCTCTCTACCCCCGCCGCTCCTGTTGAACGTGACCGCGATAGTGTCATCTGGTTCATATAGTTCTCATGCTCACGGTGGATATCGTTCTCATCATCAGCGCTGCTGCTGCTGCTTCTTGTCGCAAAAGAACGAGTTTTCCTCCTGTGGTTATTATGCATCTCCGCGATCTTTTATGCCTTTCTTAATTTCCATTACACAGCTTCTATTACCTATTATGCAGTTTCTAGTGACTATTATGCAGCTGCTACTGCCTATCATGCCACTCCTAATGACCAATATCCCACTCTTCTGGACATTATGCCCTGTTTACTGACATAGATGCTGTTAGTTCTGTTTATTATGCGCTTCATACGGGCTATCTTGCTATTTTTAATGACTATTTTGCTATTCCATTATGATGAACTGGGTACAACCAGCCCGAGCTCCAGGTCTGGTTGACTCTCTTTGAACGTAAGCATAATAATTACGTGTCCTAGACACCTACACAGCGTGCCCGTCTTCTTCCTTGGCAACTAGCTATCCTAGACGGTCCCAGGCAGTACTGTGAGCCGGCTGCTAGTCATCTTGGACAGCCTCAAGTAGTACTAGTTACCTGCTAGCCGGCCTGGACAATACCTGAAGGTGCTTGTCACCTGCAAACCTGCTCGGGTAGCCCCCGCCTCCCCACAGGTGTTGCTAGCCGGTTGCCAGCTGTGCCTAGATAACACCAGGTGCTGACGTCACAGATAAAACATTAAAGCAGGTACACAGACGAAAGAGAGGAGAGGCACGTTAGTTATTGTGGGTTCCCGCCAAACACACACCGAAACTACGACGTTGGTACAACGTTCGGGCAAGTTTTAACACCTAACCAGTTATAACAACCAATATAGCAAGTTGTAACAACGTTCTAATACGTCATAAACACGTTAAGCCAAGATGTAACAACTTTATTACAAGTTGTAACAAGCGGAAAATAGAGACAGTTTCGGTTTGTGTTTCCAGGGTTATCACTCGTTACACTTTAATCCTGTTGGTTAGATCACATATGATCTACACATATCACACACATATCACACACATACACATGTTAGTATGTATTATATTTCCATTACGTTATTATCTTGTAAGAAAAAAGAATACAACAGATATTACTTCTCAAACACTTGTGTCGTTAAGCAAAAGGGCTTCAAGACGCAAATACAGTAATGTTGAACATTCAATTTCTTACAAGACTGTATAACTTTCATAACAAAAAATGTGTAAATATCATATAAGAATTGATATTTAATGTGACCTGAAAAAATAACAACAACAGATGTTCCAAGATCAAGGAGTGAAAAATCAATCTTTAAAAAATCTTTGGAATCTAAAAAAATCTATATTAAAAAATCTATATTAAAAAATCTATATTAAAAAATCTATATTAAAAAAATCTATATTAAAAAATCTATATTAATTAAAAAATCTATATTAAAAAATCTATATTAAAAAATCTATATTAAAAAATCTATATTAAAAAATCTATATTAAAAAATCTATATTAAAAAATCTATATTAAAAAAATATACCAAGGAATCTTTGATTTCTCGGTATAAAGAACTGTTGATAACTGAGGGAGATACTGAGGGTTTAAGAACACTTTATAAAGGTCATATTATCGTCTCAATTCTATTGCATAGATCTTAAAAAAAAAAATGAGCTAAAGAACAATAATGTGTTTATTAGTTTTTTTTATTAGTTACTAAATCTTACTAGTCAGATAAAACCATGTACAGGGTGTCGCAAAAGTGTGGGCCTATGACACGTGTGTATTTATTAACACTACATTTTTTTTTGTCTTGCACTGAACGCGTTCGAAAATGTATTGAAGTGAATGGATGTCATTTCGAACATTATTGTAACTGATGAACCGATTGATAATAAATCAATTATATGGATAAAAATATTTTTTTTTATACAGTTATACTTTTATTTATTTTATGCTTTAATATATTTATTTTATACTTGTATATTTTTATTTCTTTTATACGTTTATTTATGTTATATATTGATATACTCGTGAGGCCAGACTTATAGGACATCCTGATATATGTCGAAACATTCGCGATGCGTAGGTTGTAATGTCTCATGCACGCACACATGCACGCACTCGAGTATGTACACTCAGATACACACGCATGTACGAACGCACACGAACACATTTGCGCATACTCCCTCACCAATCGCCCGAGCACACACACACACCCACCCACCCACACAAACCTATGGGAGGACCGTCGCGACATCCTCATAGAGGACATCCTGGAGAAGCGAGGACTCCCATCCTCCACGTTGCTGTAAGCGGTGGCCATCCAGGAGTGTAGCGGCGACGGCTGCCGGTACCAGCGCGAGCAGAAGGTCCGCAGGAAGGTACGGCGGTACTTGTCGCTCATGGCGCAGTACAGCACGAAGTTACAGGCGGCGTTGATGGCCGATAGCAAGTTGAAGATGTTCCCCAAGCCCCGCTCCATGTAAGAGGCAATCGAGTTGGGCTTCGACTGTAAAAAACATGAACAAAAAACACCAAAAATGACTTATTTTTGACCTTTTTAAATGATACCTTGAGGCCTGGCCTGAGACCTAGTCTGAGGCCTGGCCTAAGGCCTGGTCTGAGGCCTGGTATGAGGCCTGGTCTAAGGCCTGGCCTAAGGCCTGGTCTGAGGCCCTGGCCTGAGGCCTGGTTGTTTAGGAAAATGGAAAGGATCAATAATGGGCTTAACTACTCACGTCAAGACAATTGTAACCAGTCGAGGAGATAGGGTAGAAATTATATTCCAATCATATTGTTCATAGAATAGGGGGGAAAGACTCGGTGAACAGAAGGAAATGTTCATATGTAGAAAAGGTGATTTGTGAATGTGAAAGTTCAAGTAGCAACTCTGAGACGGGGGAAAAGGTCATTGACACTT